TCGGCTAGCACTGAAAATATATAATTCGGAGTTTTTTTTTTTTTTTTTTTTTTTTTTTTTTTATATGAAAAAATGTAAAACAATTTTGTTTGTTTGTTTGTTTTAGATGACTTACGTGAGAAACAGTTTCAGCATTTCGCCGATCAGACCGAAGTTGTTCAAAGGGTGGCCCTGAATCTCGCAAATCGCTCTCAATAAACACGCTTTCCCGTTCATTCCCAAAGTGGTGAGCATATCTTCGGCGGTACCGTAGAGCAAAGCCCGTTCGCCGCCGTGGAATGCATTTTTCGGCACTTCCATCACGTCCCGTTTGTGCAATCTGCGTTTGATAAATGCCGCGATAAAGTCTGCCATCATCATGCCCGCCTGTCGGCTCTTCAGCTTTCTGTCAAAAGCTGGCGGGAGAGCACCGTAAGGATTTTCGTTATCCGTTAGACCCAGTTTGTCGAAATCGACTGGAACATTTTATTGATTTTCATCAATCCCAAAGCAATAATCACCAGTTAAACCGGTCACCAGTTAAAATTTATTATATTGTAAATGTCTGTGACTTTTTTTTCTGATATTTACTTACTTGTAAACGGCAGACTAATGGTCATATTGCTGAGAAAACCATATGGAGGATGCCTGACGAATGGTAAGGCCAAAGTAGGCGTAATGGTCATGACGGTACCGGGGGGTAAAGCGATCCGTCCGTCATTCGTGAACCAAAGAACTCGTTTTTGTCTGTGATGAAAACTTTGATGATGCGGTTCTTTTTTCGCATTTCCCACACTTGACGTAGATAATTCGTTCAACATAATCAGACCGAGCAGCAGCAGAAAATTCTTTCGTGTCATTTTGCGAGCTGTCAATCAATAATCTATTATAAGTGTGAAAACAATCATCAAGCCTTTTCATAAGCGGCGCGTTTAGTTAGTATATAATTATCAACAACTTGAATTTACGAGGTAATAAAATTTACGCGTTAAGAATTTTTAAGTATTCTAATAATCCCTTTCGGTTAAAGACGAGAATTTTTATGTTCAAAAAAAAAGGTTAATAGGTGAACAGTACGAGGCGATAGACACAGATCGCAGATTAGATTAATGATTTTATTTATGAATACGCGGAGAAGAGTCGCGCGCGCGTGTAATTCCCGGTTTTTCTAATGAACGCAACGACGTTTCAAGTAGGCCGCACACGTTTGTATACTGATATATCGCGAAATTATTTGCGATAAATTCCCGCAACGCGACGCGTGCGTGCAACGCATATGCGTGTATATGTACGTATTCGCGTAATTACGAGACTTACGGTATACACGCGCGGCGACTCTCCTCGAAGAAGAGTCGAACGAAAAAAAATTTCGTTCTTCGACACGTAACTCGTCGTATGGATTTTGTCGTCGTCGTCTTCGGCGGCAATTACATCCTGTTTGTGCGAACGCACGAACGCGGACGACACGATGGTTGTGCGACAGCACAAGAAAATTTTCGCCTGTTTGATATTCGGGACGAGCGCAAGTTTAGCAAGAGCCAATTGTGTCAACTGGAGATTTAATTTGTAGGTATAGAGGATACTGTTCATTAAAACGGACGGACAAACGAGCAATTCGTCATCGAATTAAAAAATGTTTTTCTTAACAAATATTTATAAAAGCTCTTTTTTTAGTGTATCAAACAAATAAAAAAATAAGAACTTTAAGAGCCGAACGCTGGAATGTGCGTATGAAAAATATAGATTTTTAACCTTTAGAGCGCCGGGGTTTTGAAAAATTTGCAAATCGTATTTTTCTATAGAAATGTGGTCTAAGGTCCCTAAGTTAGGGCCAAACTAAGTTAAGATGTTGGCGAGTCAGACCCCTTACGCCTAGAGGCGTATCCCGGCCAGGTACGATAAGGCCGAATGTTAAACTTTTCAAAATTTCAAAAAAACATTCAATTGCACTATTTTTTTTTGTTTTTAGCATTATTTATGTTTTATCTGATCAAATAAAGTCAGTTTGTATCATTATCGATTGGAAAACATTATAGAGGGCGCCATCAACCGACATTTGAGTTTTTTTTTCTTTTTTCTAAAAAATTTTTTCCGTTTGGCTGAGCATTTATCAACGTATTTTACAATATTCATTTAATAGTAGCAAAAATCACCGCTAGGTGGCGAGAACCCCGAAATCCATATCCACATCTAAAGTAGATCATTGATTTATATATAATTAGATTCGCTGCAGTAACAAGTTGAATCTAAAACCTGTGTTATTGTGATACTGTTCGGACACGATCAATTATTACAATTAATTTATAGATAATAGAAATTATTTTTAATAATTTCTATTTAATTTAGATTTAAAAAAAATGAGTATAAAAAAATTTCATTTTTTTACGCCTCTAGGCGTTTTCCGGCGCTCTAAAGGTTAAATGTGTCAATTAACGCATAACGCAACTAAATATTAAGGCCAGTATTAACACGTTCGCTATCGCGGTCTATTCGACTTTTCCGAACAGACCGAAGTGCGTGAACGTGTAAACACCTTCCCCACAGATCAAACGGTTTTCTTTTAACATAGTGTTGCGAGGTGCGGCGTGTCGTCCACGAGGTATATGGATATTGTCAACGATCGATCGCTTGGACGCTTTTGTTTTCAGGTAGGGGTTTGTTGATAGAGAGGGTCAAGAGAATGAGCTGCCAGACTCGGATGATTGTCGCTCATCAATCATCGGCCTTTACGTTTTCCGCGGCGTTTTGTAGCGTTCTCTAATAAAACTCTATTGTGTTATATTGAGGCGTTCTCTTTTCTTTCTGCAAAGCGCATCAACGCGATTGTGACGCTGCCGTGAGCGCAACAATACTAATTACGGATGACACCGGTCTCTTGAAACAACAACCGGCGTGTCACACACATATATCCGACACGTAGCGAACGTGTTAAATTTAAACAATTAAATCTTATTGAAGCTCGATAAGTTACTAAACTACGAAATATATTTACGGTCATACGAGCCGATCGCAGGATGTTGTGCGGAAAAATACGTATATATAAAAATGCGTATATATATACCCAGCAAACACTTTGGTTGTCAGATGTCACGATTTTGTCGCCAACTGCCACACCAAATCCATATCCATCTGTGTCCTCAGTAGGATATGGTTTTGGTGAGTTTTGGTGATCACGTTACGTTTTTTTGTGTCCGTGTGTCAACAGCTTTGGCAGCACACAAAGCATGTTTTCGTATTGTAGCGATTCTGCACACAGTTTCTGTTGCCAGGTCTGCGCAGTCAGAAATTGTTTGCTGGGTATATATATATACGCATTTTCGTATTGCGAGACAAGCTCCAAGTGCCTCGGTAGCCTAACGAGGAAAGCGACGGCCCGAAAAGCGACGGCCCGGAAAGCCGGAGATTTCAGATTCGACTCCTGGCTGAGGAGTATTTTTTCGCAATATTTTCAAAATTAGTTAGGGGGGTAGATGGGATCTCTCATTTATATGTGTGATGCAAATCCAGCATATCCAATATGAATTTAAGAATTTTGATATTCAATTCAAAAACGTCGCGCGTAAAAATTTACACGCGAACAATTATACATACGCATTTTTCCGCGCAACATTCTGCAACATCGGCTCGTATGACCCGTAAATATATTTCGTAGTGTGAAATTTAATTCAAATTTTCACGCGTGTATTAATTTACACGTTGAAAAGAAAAAAATTAATATACATATAATTGTCGTGCGGGGCAAATTAGTTCGACCTTTATACCTGTACACTTTCACGAATTTTTTAAATTAGTAGTTAACGCGCATAATAATTCTGAACTGAGTTTAATTCGAAAATCCATACCGGATGTTTAATTTGCATCTCGCAAATAACCCCTTCTACCTTTTCTGTTTTTTTTCTTTAAAGTAAAAGTTTTTTCCAATTTAAAATTGTTTCCGTAATTACGTGAATTTTTTTTTTTTTGCAAAAGTGGCAATAGCGGTATAACGCGCGGCGCCGATCGCCGGTTGTCTAAATTGTGACGAGTGCACACCAACCGGACAATGCATCATCTTTCGATCGCGTGCGCGATCGCGTTTTCCTCCCCTTTGCGTCGAGTGTGGACGATACGTGTAGTCTCGTCTCTAGTTACAGTTATCGAGATTCCGGTACGTGTGAGCCGTGTTCAGTAGGTTTTGGTAGCGCAGAGAGTTTTTACCGGTACCCTTTTTGATCGGTATAACAGTATAAACGGCAATAGCGCGTTAAGGGAAACCAGGCGACTTGGACTTCGCCCTAGAAAAAACGCGAGTTGTGCATGTGTATCCCATATGTAGAGGTACGTGCTTGTCCGTATATGTATATCCTCGCCTACATTCCTCGCACTGCACAATTTGTTCGAAGTAAAAAAACTTCAATTCGCTTGCGACGCGAAAACCCCGCGAAAAATATGTGACAAATAATAAAGAGAACAATAATAAGAGAACTGAAAAAAAATGGGAGTAATAATGTGGTAAAATTGCGAAGGTGCGAAACCGGTCGATTCACAAGTGACTCACAGGTGGCTCGCTGTTGCTTTTTGTTTACATCGTGATATTCATATATATACGATATATATATTGTTTTGCGAACCTGTGCCGAGAAAATTTGAATCCGGGCGACCGAACTCGGACTTTTCTCGAAAACCGATCGATCGTGCTTCGAACGTCTCTGCTTCGCATCTTAAAAAAAAAAAAAAAAAAAAAAACAACTTAGAGGAAAAATATATATCGCGAATTATATCTCGCGCGAGAAATCAACGCGAAAACGCAATAATAATAATCATCATAAAACCCGATACGATCTAGATCTTGGACGAACTGTGGCATACATTGTCTTTCACGGCGAGAGTGAAGTTCGCCGTTGAAAAAGAAAAGAAAGAGAATAAGAACGTAATAAGGTGGGGCGACCGCTAAGCGCACATCGCGAGGAATACGAAATGATTGACCCGCATATTTTGATATGCGCGCCGTCGCGTCACGAGAAACGAAGACGCGCGCACACCGGCGGCGCGACGCTTCGAATTAAGCCAATTCGAAATTACCGTCCGTCCCGCGATGCGTCCGAAATTGGAACCGCTGCGGTTCGTGCGTGGTTTTTTTTTGACGAGGCACCGTTATACACCTTCCCGTAAAACCGGGTCGATTTTAAGAACTGCAGGTTGTTGCCTGCAGGCAATTTTGTGCAAAAATGTCTCGCACATCATCCCGCAATCGGAATGCTTTTTTGTTGCTCGGGATGAGTTGTCGGCGTGATTTTTTTTCAGCGTAGACATTTACAACCAGAGATCCAACATGTACATTTCCGTGTGTGATATTCATTGGGTTTAGCAGAACGGAGAGAAAGAGACGCAAAACAGAGAGGAGACATATATGTCTCTGTTCTTTTCTGTGCGCGGTGATTAACGATGCAGACCGGTGCAACATGCTTTTAATTGCCTACAGACACACAACTACGTCTATACAATTTTTTTGATTTATGTAATTTTTTTAACATGCTTTTTTTAACACATTGTTGACCGGTCACGAGTTAACTCGTGTTTTTATGGCCGAACCACAGTATAGGTAAGAACAGTAGGTTCACTCTCCGCCATATTGTTGGTTGTGCGATTTGGTCATGCGCGAGAGACAACTTTTAGTATAAGTTTTCGGAGAGTGAACCTACTGTTCTTACCTATACCACAGTATAGGTATTCACTCTCATATTCACTCTCCGAAAACTTATACTAAAAGTTGTCTCTCGCGCATGACCAAATCGCACAACCAACAATATGGCGGAGAGTGAACCTACTGTTCTTACCTATACTGTGGCCGAACGTTGCTGACCGGTCACGAGTTAACTCGTGATGCGTTTTTAAGAAATATTAAAAGTTGAATATAATAAATAAAATTTATTAAAGTTTATTTTTATTGTTTTACTTCCACTTCCAATTACGAAATAATAGCCGGTAACATGAGATAAATTTTCAGTAAAATTGCCGGTCAACAATGTGTTAACTGTCTGAGCGATTTTTGCGCGCGCACATTTCGACTCTACCCTACTCCTACACTGAGAGAAAAAAATCGAGCTGCGCTAGGGGAGAAGAAAGGCGGGGCGCAAAGTGAGAATACATAGTTCAGGATTTGCTGCGGGACATCCGCTGACAGCAAGTGGGGGGAGTAGGGAGTTTTCTGGTAGGGGAAATGCACGGACGAGTTTTCATTCGTTCTGACTTTTTGTTCCATTGAATTCAGTATGCTATAGATATATTTCCAAAGACTGCCCAGGGTTCCCTCGGCTCGAGGGTATTGTGCAAGGGGCAAGGGGCTGCGAGTAGGAAGTCCTCTAACCTGCATTGTCAGAAATTCTTCCGGACCGGGCTCTTTCAAGTTTATTGACTTAAAAGCAAGCTAAGAATCCGGATCTCCAATCAGCTTGAATTGGTAGTGAGAGACGCAAGAGGAATATAAAAAGGAATATTGGGAAATGCAAAAATTTCTTCATCCTCTTAGTATGCTATAGATATATTTCCAAGAACAACCTAAGGTTCTCTCGGCTCGAGGGTATCGTGCAAGGGGCAAGGGGCTGCGAGTAGGAAGTCCTCTAACCTGCATTGTCAGAAATTTTTCTGGACCGGTCTCTTTCAAGTTTATTGACTTAAAAGCGAGCTAAGAATCCGG